CTCATGGCGTTATCCGAGCCTGGCATCAGTTTCCACTGCAAAGGCGGATAGCCTTGGACACCTCGACTTTCTCCGCCCACGACCCTGGGAGTAAATCGCCACTCTTGGAGGTTGCTGTTAACTTTCAGCCACGTGATGAAGCAGACACAGTACTCCTGAATAGGGGTGTGGTAGGCTAGGGTTTCGGGGTTTAGGTGCTCAAGGGGTTTGGGGGCTTTTAGTGGGTGGGAGTTTACATATCTCGGACTTAGGATCAGTTATTGGGCTATGGGTCTTGGGTTTTATTGGGAGCTTAGTATGTATAGATTACGGGGAAAAGTGATAGTCTTTGAGGTCCGATCGTGTGCGCATATTCACATGGTTCTGGGCTTGCTCAACAGCGGCTGGCTGATCAGTGCCCCCAACAACTGGGTGATTCGCAGGTGAGTGTTGTATGTTCCAATATCCTCCCACTTCTTCCTGAAGGTGTTCTCCGTGGTTTTGACCGTACGAACGAATTTGAAGTCTTTCTGAACAGACCATGCTCTTCGGAACTCGCCCTTGAACTGGTCTAACATCACGGAGTAAACGGCCTTGACATCTGGCTTGCGCTTTAAAGCTCGCTCGGCCCACAGCCTGGGCCGTGGGAGAGCGAGCGGAGAGGTTGAGACCTACAGTGTCGCCCAGTGCATAGCACCTTCAGCGGAAGCCGGAACCATCTCGATGCTAATATCTTTCGGATCTCTCTTGTAGTGCGAAGCATAATTCGTGATTGTTCGGGCTTGGGATTCGGAGGTCATCGGTGGCACGGCGGCCGGCGGAGCTGCACTGGTGGGCTCGGCGGCTGCTTCGGCCGTGTGGGGGGGATCAACAGGGGTGTCGATCAGGGTCTCCCGACTATCCATGGCAGCCATCATATGCCGTGCTCTGGCACAGCAACGGATCTACCTAGCTACCCAAATCCTTCCTGTACCTTTCCTCGAGATATAGTAGATCACAACAACACATCGGGCTGAGTCAAGCCATTATAGAAGTGGAACCTTCGGTTCAGTCTGCGTGATCGCCACACTAGCAATATAAGTAGTCTAGATAGCATGACTTTGGGTATCTTTTGGGCTCCTAACACCTCATCACACTTCATTGCGGGCCTCATCGGGGATCTACTTTGATACCTCATTCTCTGCGGTGCTTACTTTTTGGAGCAGACAGCACCTATCATATCCTGAAGGGCCAAAGGGGCTCATCACAGGGCTCATCGGGGATCCACTTCGATACCTCATTGTGTGCGTCAGCTCTGCCACACATAATCGGCGCTTTGGTACGTTGCTATGGCTACTCGAGGAGCAGCACGATCGGGGCTTTTTTGACTTTGCAAGAGTAAGACTTACGACTGCTAGTCTTAAAAACCCCTGGTGGGCTGCTGGGACACCTCGAGGCCGGCAAAAGTAGAGCCACCAATGGGTAAATCTAGATTCAGCTGTAGATCGTTCTTGTTATTATTGTGTAGGTATGTATATATATACACAAAATAATATGTGATTATGGTTATTATTATTGAATCGTTGTAATTATGAGTATATCTATATATGTATATATAGATACAGTATTAACCCCTTGTGTTGTACGTGTGTATATATATGTGTGCCCGATGCCATTAGGGTATGTGCAACTAGCTTTTTGTATTTGCAATACGAATTGCTTAGCTAAATTCTATATCACATAGCATCAATGTGTAACATATCTTCCGTCGGAAGTTTAGAACTGCATCCAATAATAGTTTTGAAAACAAGAACTCACTAAATTACATAGCATCATATGCTCCTCTCTATGCCTCATCTTCGCCCTCCATTTCCAATCCCTCCTATCCAAACCTTCACCAATTCCCATACTGCATAATATTTATTTTCTTTGTCACATTTATTAGCTTAACATCTCCATTATCTGTATCAACTTCATCATACGTGTCATCTCTAACATCTTATCATAGATGACTATCTGTATCATCTTTATTATCTCTACCATCCTTGTCATATCAATCATCGTTGATGTTTTTCATCATTTGTAAGAATTATTGAACTTATCTGTATCATTTTGTCAGCAGAGAGTCATCTTTATACTGTATAACCATGCTTATCATCTTGTCATGCCGATCATCCTCAAAAGAAGTCAAGTGCATTCTTATCATGATTGTTCGTGTTGTTGTTCAGTATGCATGAATATCTAAATACTTACCGACCTAGCTACATATTATTGTTTTCATCACGACTGAACCCGCCATAATAATGCTGTAATGCTGATTTGTGTGATTATTATTCATCACGGGTGTTGCTGTTGCTGCTGTTGTTATTGTTGTTGTTGTTGTTGTTGTTGATGTTGTTGTTGCTGTGGTTGTTGTTGCTGCTATTGTTGTTGGTGGTGGTGTTGCTAGTACTGTTGCTGTGGTTGTGATTGTGAATGTGGTTGTTGTCGTGCTGTTGTTGTTGTTGCTGTTGTTGTTGTTGTTGCTGTTGTTGTTGGTAGTTGTTGCGTCTGCCGCCGCGCGGGGTGGTGCAATTCCTTTCCTGGCATGTGCTGAAACTCGAGTTTTGGCACTTTCTTCGCCCGACACTGAACTTTGCTTTTGCTTTCGCATCGGTTTTTGCTGTGTTTTCAAGCAAAAAGTGACCCAGCCGGCTGGGCTGCACTTTGCAAAAACATGTTCAGCTCTGCATTTCGCCTCGTTTTTTTCGGTGTTTTCCTGTGTGTCGCATTTCGCATCGATTTTTGCAGTGTTTTCGCCGACTCTCGACTTTCTGCACATGCCGGCTTCGACTTGCATTTGTCTTTCAGCTCTGTGTGGGGCTTGGGGGGGTGATGGGGGGTGCGGGGGTGATGACGTCCATGCGAACGCGGCTTGTGTCTTCTATTTCTCTTGTTGTTTCCTATGTGTCGCATTTCGCATTGTTTTTTTTTTACGGTGTTTTTGCCGATTCTCGACTTTGTGCACATGCCAGCTTCAACTTGCAATTTGTCTTTCAGCTCTGTGCGGGGGTGGGGGAGGGATGGGGGGGTGATGACGTCCATGCGAATGCGGCTTGTGTCTTCTGTTTCTTTGGTTGCATTACTTCTCAGACGCTACCAGTTGCTCTGTCAATTCGTGCGTGCCGTTTCTTCTTGCTTCACTTTGGAAACGTCCACCATGCCAAAACCCCGAGTTTTTGAAGCTTTCCAGACAAAAACTTCCCAAATGAGCCTGAAAATCCATATAAATCAAAGACGGAAAGCATGGTATTTGCGACACTTCCGCAAAACCATCGACAAGCTACAGCTTCACACTAGCTTGTAAGTGCAGACGCACGGACAGACCTTCTTGTCCACTAACTCTTCCCTTCCGAGCAAAGTCTGTCGTTCGCTACGCACTCGAACTGTAAAGCGTACCGAACAAAAGGCTTCACAGGAGGCGCAACGGACTAACCGGACTTGAAAATCTCCGGGTGGGAGAGGCGGGAAAAGCGAAAAACTCGGCTAGCTCGGGCTTCCTCGGGCCTTGTTCTGCGAACGTGCGAACGGTCCTCTGAAGTCCTCGCTACGCTTGTCACTACGAACACACGTGTTCTGCACACCAAAAACACAAGACAAATAACTACAGAAAATTTAAAGTCCGATACATCATCTTGTTGACGAAAACCACGCAAAGCTCAGGGTTTTCTAGCTTTTGACCAAAAAACCTCCCAAGAATAAACGACACAACCCGTGTGGCGTCAAACGCAACGCCTTCCTTGTTGTTGTTGTTGTTGTTGGTGGTGCTGCTGTTGTTGTTGGTTGTTGTGACTGTTCATGTTGAGACCCGTGCTTAGAAACAGGCCGAGGGGATAGAATTAATGCTGTAATTCGAAAAATCCTAGCGGGTTCACTTTCAAGGGTGTTTTTCCTGTTGTTTGTATGCCTTTGTATGCCCTTCTCCTTCGCACGGCCCTTCCGCCACATGGAAAACACGGCCCTGCGCGAGGTTTTCGCCTTGTTGCATGTGTTCCGCTCTTGGTAGCCGAGTGTTTTGTCTGATGCGCGCTGTCTTTGTTTTTTGCACCAAAAACGACGTCACGTTTGGTAGTACATTTTGGGTTGCGAATTCGTCCGAGCATCGAAAAACATGGACTGCGTGTTGTATTCCTGACTTTCTGAAGGCAAGTTTTTGGATGTCTGCCGCTTTGCGTGTTCTGCGTTTTTTTCGTCTGTTTTGTTTTCCGTCATGTGCTCTACTTGCTCTTTGGGGGGGCCAGGGGGGTGGGGTGGGGGGGGGGGGGGGGAGTAATGATGTTCTGTTTATCACGGCAGCCTGGGGCTGCAGTCCTAAACTCAACCGCAAACGACGAACACGCAACGAACGACGAGATAAGCGAACACAAATCAAGCTGACAGCCAAGGGTTTGGCATGTTCGCTACTTTCGTAGGAAGGCACTCAATCGCCGTTTGCAAGGACAGGACGCTGCACAACATCCATATGAACCAATTATCGATCCTTACCGGAACTGTGACAGGAACGCTTACCACAAAGTCGCAAGCCCTGCGTCCCTCCTTGCCTACAGCTTGAACTCCAAACAACTGCATCAATTCTATGGCTTTGGGTTTAGGCCGGTAGGCCGCCGCCACCATCATCAACAACACCATCAGACCCATCGTCTCATCATCAACATCATCAGCATCAGCATCGGCATCATCATTACCGTCATCACCTTCTTCTTCCCCACGCGGCGAAAAGATTCGTCCTGCGCGCGCCTTTCAGCTCATTGAGCCGGCCATTGGTGTATGGCTTAGGCACGAGTGCCTCTTATGGGCCGTCGGCAAAAGGAGAGAGAGAGAGAGAGAGAGAGAGAGAGAGAGAGAGAGAGAGAGAGAGAGAGAGAGAGAGAGAGAGAGAGAGAGAGAGAGAGAGAGAGAGAGAGAGAGAGAGAGAGAGAGAGGAAGAGAGACAAAAGGGGTGCGCCGAAACGCCTTAAACAATAAGGACTGTATGCTTGGCATCAGTCTTCATGAGCAGCCGGCTAGTCATCAAGAGAATCCAGCATGATGAAGCATTGCAGCTTCGGTACCTTGTTGTGATTCTGCTTGTCCATCTGCGCAGTCAGTACTCGGAGCTCGTCTTGGAGACGATTGTGGGCACACTGTAGGGCCTCCAGCCCTTCCGCTATGCCCGAGACTTGCAGTTTCAGCAGAAACAGCTGAGATGCAATCCAGTTGAGATCCTCTTCGCGAACAGTGCGAGGGCTGCGATGAGGTTCCATGATGCTGGGACTGCGTGTGCTGTGAGTCTGATGACGGCTGCAAGGTTGTGTCAGGCATGCGTGCAACGGCTATAATGTACATGTTGGTACTCAAGTGGTCAAGCTGCTCCGGCCTATGCAGGCGAGACGATTTTTCATCGTCCAGCTGCCACAGATCTGACTTTCTGAAGATCGCCGTGGTGTAATGGCCTGCCGTGGGGCGGGCTCCATGGTGCTGTATGCACGCTGTGGTGCGATACGCGATCCACTGGACGGCCAGTGAGTCTGCTGATGTAAACACAGGAAGCCGGATTACATGGGGCAGGGTATAGGGATGCAGGAGTTTCCCAGCTCTACCTCGCTCATTATACCGAAATCTGGGTAATTGAAGGAAGGCCCATGGCGGTGCCTGAGCAAAAGCCTGCAGCTCCGCTTGTTGGTGCCACAGCTGCACCAAGTCCTGCACGTTGTGCGTGGGATTGGCGGGATCGGTGGGGAGCTGTATGCACTTGGCCACAGAGGCCTGGACTTGGCGGTCAAAACCCTCCGCGGTCTGGCCACGTGTCTCCCAATGGCCTGGCGAGAGAGGTCGAACTAACTTGGGATGTAAATGGTCGATGAACTCTGCTACGTCATGCTGACGTCGAGGCTCCGACCAACCCAGAAGTTTGAACCCTATCAGACGCATCGCTTCTCGCGGGTGCTCTGAAGTTTCCCAAAAGGCCTGAGGCAGGAGATGCTGTTGACCACACTGTCGAAGCACCGTGCACAGACTATACAGGAATGAGTTAATGTAGCAGGTGTTGGAGCCCCCTTTCGGGGCTCGTGCGCGGCCGCTGCGCCAGCAGCGACTGGCGTTCCTGTGTTGTGGGATTGAGGGGCGGGGCGCTGATGAGTAGAGGGTGAGAGGAAGGGTCCTCTGTTAGTGGCCGTAAAACTGGTTCGCCAGGTGCTTCGCGAGGGCAGATCTCGGGAGGGTGTCTTTCTTCATAGAGACCCCCACCAGGCTGAGGATGGAGCAGCCTGCCAGACGGGACAGGTTGTCGTAGATTTCCTGAGCCATGCTCCCTCGTAGGGAGACCTCCAGCTGAAACGTTGCCACATTCGAGCCCTGTTCCTCCAGCTTCTGCAGCCCCACCGTGGAGGCGAATTTCTGAATGACATCCCCAGTGACGTGCTTCTGAAGCTGAGTCAAGACACTGACCGCCTCGTCGTGGGACAGGGGGTCCTTCTGAGTGTCCTGGCAGAGGCGCTTCTCGGAGTGGTCCCAGGTGCGATACGTCCAGCCGCCCTCTGGTGTCATCCAGCCGGCGGTCACCATCTTGGTCTTGTTCTCGGCCGTGGCGACGGACTTCTGGGCCTGATTGAGTACCTCCTGGAGAAGGGACGCGAGCAGCAGTGTCTTGAGAGATGACTTCAATCGCGGATCGTCGGAGGTCTTGCGATTTCGCCACTCTCGAGCCACTTTCCATCAGCGTGGCCAATGTTCCGTCGGTCTCGTTCCTCATAAAGAGGATAAAGATTTTGTCCGGACGAAGACGACTGATGGTTTCCTCTTGTTGAAGGACAACTCGCGTCAAGAGTCTCAGCTGATCTTGCCGATGCGGTGGCGGGTGATAGCCAAAGTTGCCGAAGTGTCCTGGTGGTCCCTCTGAGGACGTTGCTGGCCGCCCGGATGCTGGGGCATCTGGGAGCCGGGATGGCCCCAGCGAGACTGCTGCTCCGGTCGGCGGCGTTTGGGTCCCCTTGGCGGGGGCGGCTGGTACTCTGGTCCCCCCAACAGCTGGCAAAGATCTCGAGCTCGTCGTTGCCCATCTGGTAGTTCTCCCCGAACATCTTGGGTGTCCTGACAGTGTAGGACAGCTAGGCACAATTGCACCAGTGGCGTGCATTGTTGGACGTGGCGTCCTGGCGCACCCACCTTGTGGTGGCACCACAAGCACGAGCGGTCACGTGTGAGATGCGATTTGAAGGTGAGGCTGAGCTTTAAAACACGTTGCATCAAGGTGGGATGTTGGGAAGCATGAACCTTATTGAAGTGCTGTTTGACATGCTTATAGCTCGAGATCCACATGTTGCAAAGTACACAGTGACTTGAGAGCTCTTGTCGGACAGCAGGCTCCTTCAACCAGCTTTCCCAATCATGAAGCTTCTGCTGAAACTGCACTCGCAACACAAGCGGTGTGTGAGCCGCATTTTCACCCTCAAAAATGCCTCGGTGCACCGCGGGAGGTGCCTGGATGATCTCAGCTGCCTGTTCGTCAGGGATCGGGGCACGAATCAAGCTATCACCTCCTAGTTGACAGCAGGCTCCACTCTCAATGTGGATACTAGAGCACAGGCGGCATGCGGGCATGCCTGCTAAGGAGTGCAGCTCGGGGCGAAAGGCCGTCGGGGTCCTGGTGCTGTGTGCTGGGAGGTCCCCGTGCTTGAGCTTACCATGTATGCGGCATGCGCATTGAGTTCTCAGTGTGGAAGGCTTCGTTGCAGTGGGGACAATTTACGAGGGGGGCTCCCAAGGGCTCCTTTGCAAGATCTGCAGCAGCTTCCATCAACAGTTGCTCGAGGCACATGTCAAGCAGGCGGAGGTGCTGGAAAGCTTGATCGCTGGTAGTAATATCAGCAGCCGTGATGGCTTTACGTTCAAGCTTTTGAAGAGAGTCGCGGAGTGTGTGCTGGATGCTCCAGCCCGGCATGGGCAAACCGGCCTGTTGCCACAGACCACCCGTGGTGATGTGCGTGATATGAGCCGGAACCCTGAGTATGGCTCGAAGCTGTTTGGTGAGGTACACCGTGAGCTTACGAAGGGATCTCTCAGTGAGTACATCACGCTGGAACAAATGCATGCTTGCCAGAGGCGTATCCAAAGTGAGGTATTGAGATGATGGTTCCCATTCAGTAGCTTTCTTATAGGCTCTGATACCTCACCTGGCTCGCCTGAATCCGGTGCGCCATGTTGCGATCAAGTCGGTGTTTGTAGGTAACAACCGTTCCGAGATACAGGTGTTGGTCCTTGACCGGGACGCCGCATTCCCGTCCGTGGACGGTGAGCCGAAGATGCAACTGGCCTGGGTGCATGTAGGTGTGTTCACGGAGCTGCTGCTTAGCATCTTTGCCTACCAGCTTGAGGAGGATGGCAGTTTTACCGTAGTTAATCTGCATATGCAGAGTTTCCAGGGTCTCAAGGATGAGGGTTACATCATCGATGGCAGCACGCAGGTCTGGGAGTGCTCGGATAACCCAGGCCCCCCATACGTCATCTGCAAAGAGAGAGAGAACTCGCTCAATCCATGCCTGGCTACGCTTGTCTCGGAGCAGAAGGAGAAAGGACAGGGAGAAGTAGTTCCATAGAAATGGAGCAATGACACATCCCTGTTTTATGCCATTTGATGTTATGACAGAGCCGCGAAGGTCTCCCTTGTGAAAGATGTACCTGGCATCAGCATGCAGCTGTTGCACGAGAGTGATGGTGCTGCTGGAAACGCCATGCCGAGACATTGATCGGTAGATCTCTGGCCTATCAACCCCATCAAAGGCCTTGGACAAATCTAAGGATAAGCTAAGGCCCCCCGAGGTGGGGCGCTGTTTCTTGCCCACCCTTTGCTGGAACCTGTTGCATCTGGTTTGCTTCAAAACTTCGGCAACTGCCTCGAAGTGTTGATGGGCACGGATGATGGCATCGAAGGTTCCTCTTTGCTTGGCATAGGCGAATTGCGGCAACTGCCGCAGAAGGGGCTGGAGGCCGTCTACAAGAGAGGATCGTAAACACCCGGCGAGGGCCTTACTAGCGGGACTAGTGAGTCCTATTGGGCGCAAGGCTTCGACTGATGTAGGTGCTTTCGATGGTTTCGGGATCCAGGAGACATGTGAGTTCTTCCAGTCCTCGTCAAGCTGGCAGAGGGAGCCACACCGCAGGTGCCGTCGCAAGGCCTGGCCGAGAGTATGACTGATGGATGTGGCACACAGTCGCCAAATTGCTGCTGGTGCGATGTGCTTGGGCACCGCCTTCCCTATGCCTAGCTTACTGAGTTCGTCCAGTAGGGCTTGATCAGTAATGACAAGGTCCTCGCTGAGGGGTGCTATGTGCGGTTCATCGGGGCGGGCAGCAAAAGTTTTATTGCTGTAGCGAACTATGGCCTCCATCTCCTCAGCAGGAGAGAGCAGGTGGCCATCATCCCCACGCATTCGACCTGCAATTTTGCGGGACTTAGGGGAGAGTCTACGGATTATGAGGTACAGGTTGCGCTGGTCGCCTCGGGCGGCCGCCAGCTCAGCTGCCTCTATTTGCTCCTCGTAGAAGGCTCGCTTTAGCTCTTTACTTTGCTGTCGTAAGGCTTTGGAGGCCTTGGCGAAGCTGGTGGCCAGTCGCCACTTCTCGAAGATGCGACCGAAAGTGCACACTCCTGCCCGCTTAAACTGTCGGTAAGTCTGCCAAACAGCCCTGGCAGTGACCCGAAAGCCTGGTTGTGCCGACACGCGGTGGTCGGGCTTCGGCTCGCGAGGGAATGCAAGTGCCGCCTCCTCCAGAAGGATGCGGTTGACGCTGGCGTGTGCACTGGCTATTTGTGATGTGTCGACTTGAGACAGCCGTGCCGATACGCGTTGGCACAAAAGCTGGGCCTCAGCGGAGCGAACTCGGACCGCTGCTTGCAGAGCGGCAATGTCCAGAGCCTGCACGTGGTGAGAGTGTCCCGGCTTGTGTAAGAAGTAGATGGGCAGCAAGGGCAGGTCAGCACGTATGGGAAAATGCCCAGTGAGCCTTCCACCCCCGATCGGAAATGATCTATCTGGTCTTGCCTGTTTGGCTTTGGCCACGGCAGCATCCTGTCGAACAATGACGTAATCAATTTGTGTTTCACCCGTGGGCGCGTAGTAGGTGCTAGGGCGCTTGGTCTGCCACGTATTAAGCACCGTGAGGCTATGGGTCCTGAGCATGACCTGAAGCTCGTCCCCCCCAGTGGTGTCAGTCGTATCGGCAGGAACACAAGGACCTACTGCGGGATGATCCGGGCGAACTGTGGTATTGAAGTCGCCACATATGATGAGATGATGCCGGGCAGGCGTCTTCATGATCAGACTATCAAGGTGTGTCCACAGGCCTTGGCGGAGCTCTTTGTTTTTGGCCGTGGTAAGGCCGCTGCGCCACACATGTTGGTATACTCCGATGAGACTAATCGGTGTGTTGCTGGCTTTGTGACACATCTGAACGAGAGCGAGGCGTCCCGGCATAACTTCCAAGATTCTGGGGTCCTTGAAGACTCGCTGATTGATGAGGAAGAGGAGCCCAGAGCACCTGCCGAACTCAACGTCTGGTCCACGACCAGACGAGTGTAGCACTAGCCACGACCCAGACACATAATCGCTTGTTTCATGCAAATGTGTGTTTCCTAGACGATGACAAGATCAAGCTGCCATTGCATGTCGCACCATGCAAGGAATTCTTGATACATGTGGGAGGGGCTCCTGCATTCCATGAGACTATGGCTAGATGGTCAAGGCGCCGGCTGGCGCGGTTGGGGCGTCTTAAGCGACTAGTGTGGGGGATCGGTTTGGACAACTGTCCTAGAGTCTCCGTGGTGTGCCAGGTACCCTTATACCAAGTACCCTGATTAGGGGATTGATGGGCCCTGAGCCTAGCTCTACGAAAAGAGCGCTTGACTGAAAATGGGATGGCTGTCGGCCTGGCTGCTGCCGACGATCCGGGAAGCGCGGTGCCGCGCTGCTTCCCCACTACCGAAGTAGTGGGTCCCACGCCTGTCGCGGATACAGGCGTAACCCTCGCCCCGCCTGCCTTACGAAGGTGCCCGCTATAAGAACCATTCTGAGGCAGGTGCCGGATTTGGGACCGGCTCGGCTTAATCCAGGCGTAGTTAGGGTCCTAGAGTGGCTTAAAGGATTAGGAGACTTAGTCAACCCGAAGGGTGCAGGATGGCCTGCATTCGGCGGCGGTGCTGCAGCTTGCATGCAGCTGTTGACGCTCCTGTGGGGTCGAGTGTGTCTACGGAGTCGGGAGGTCCTAGTGGGGGCGTAGGCATGTAGCCGGGGTAGCATCTGAAAAGCATGTGCACAGTGGCTCCTGGGTCGTCCAATCGGCCGGGCAGGATCAGGCGTGCCGTGCCCTGACGCGGCGGGCTGGGCCGCCTGGCATGTGTGGCCCTGCTCGTATTCTCGCCATGACACAAGTGGTTCGCCTTCCAGGTACCGCCGCGCCGCCTCACTGACATAGGCCCAGTTTTTGCCGGCCAAGTGCCTTCGTGAAAGTTTAAACCCTTAAACCAGTGTCCTTGTTATAACCACGGCGCGAGCTTGGATTCTTTTTCTCACTTGCTGCTCCGCTGTCGGGCTGTCTTGAGCCTACGTTTGACCTGCGGTGAAACACTGGATTCCTGTATGTAAATGGGCATGAGGGAAAATTGAACTATCTGTTACGCCCTCATCACGTACACAGCTTTGTCGTGTAACGTGATCCTTGTGAAACTTTTCCTACTTCTACCACAGTTTTCGCATGCTCCTGTGAGCTTCGTCTTCTCTTCTCGCACGCTTCTTTGAGCACTTGTTGAACATCTTTATCCTTTTATCCTCAATCTTCAGATGTCCTATAGCAGATTTGCGAATTTCCATTCCACACACAATTGGCATGGACTCACTCGGAAACTAAATCTACTCTTGCATGTCGTCTTCCACTTTTGCTAAAAACTCTGCGGTCCTTAAACCGTACCCCGATGGGACTCTTGAGACGGGGCGTCTCATCTGCTCTTGCCACATCACGAATTCTTTTTCTAGAACCGTTGTTGGCATTGATCGCCGAATGCTTTCGACGTTCAGCTGTCCCAAAACTGTTGGGAATATAGACATTGTGTCTATGTTGAAACCACTTCTGAGGGCTTCCATTGCCTCGCGGGCTTCCTCGTCAGAGGATTGAACTACCGCTTCTTCGGCATCTTCTTTTTCCTTCTTCTCTTGTGGCTTCTCTTCTTCCTTCTTCTCTTCCTCTTGCTTCTCTTCTTCTTTCTTCTCTTCTTCTTTCTTCTCTTCTTCTTTCTTCTCTTCTTCTTTCTTCTCTTCTTCTTGCTTCTCCTCTTCTTTTGGCTTTTCTTTTTCTTCTTCCATTGGCTTCTCTTCTTCCTGAGGCTTCTCTCCTTCTGCCTTCTCCGCAACTCTATCCGCTTCTGCTCTTACTTCTGCTCTTCTTTCCTTGGCTGCTGCTTTCATCTCTTCCAGCTGCTGCAGCTTTTCATCCATGATCTCTCCTTGCTCTCTTATCTTTTCCTGGATGTCTTCAGGTATCCGAACAGTTCTTTGCTCCAACGCTGCGAAGTTAGTCTCTTTCGACTTCTTCAATCTTTCTGCTTCTTC